TCTTTTATTTTTCCTGACGGGGCGATTTCCAATTAAGCAGGAATTAAGGCTTGGTTGTGGTAGGTCCGAGCGGTTCTTGATCACCAGGACTCCATCAAAAGACCATAGGTAAGTGGGTAATAGAATACTATTCTTCGGAATACTGTTTAGCAGTAAGAATAATTAGGTGAACGCAGATAGAAGGATTCCTGAGAGAATCTCGAGTCAACTTTTGAGTGTAATACAATGTTTGAATCAAGGAGAATTTGGTACAAAAATGTCGTCAGAAATCTCTTCTCGGTGAAACTCTACGGAAACTGCCTCTGAAGTACGGTAAATAAAGAAATATGAATAAAACGTTAGGTGCTCTCGACAGCTTACCAGAAAGTCGATGCGCGAAGAAACCAAGGCGGCGATCCACGAAAGACGAGCATGTCATCGATAACAGACACATCGGAAAGATCCATGCCTTCTCGAACCTGTATAAGATGCTCAACTTCATCAAAGCCACAAATCTAAGTACTTTTCTGTGTTGAAGTTTGCTTCAAACCAATTCCTGTAGTGCGAGGTAAAGGAAATCCCCGTTTTCCGCATGAATCCAGTTGCTGCTGTCTATAAATGTCGTCTCAAAAGAATTGAAAGAATATTGGCCCCAGTTATAATTTCCGAGAACTCCCGACACGCATCAGCTATCCCTGAGGAGTTTAAAAGAATGTTTCTTGCATTTGACATTTTGCTTCTCATAAGAGGAGGGAAGGAGCTGAAATTCTAACTGAATAAAATTGAAAGATTCAGCAGAACTGCCCGCTTGGGATTACATCCCCTTCTTGCNCAACGCAGTCCTCAAACGTTTCAGTTCTGAGGAATTTGTCCAATTCTCTCATCGAAATCGGTCGAAAAAATAAGCTCATAGAGATCACCAGATGACAACAATCATTGCCATAGTTGCTGAGTAGCAATGAATCAAATTTGCCGACGTTTTCAAAAAGTTGCCATGACTACATTTTCGTACATAGCAAAAACAAAATGACCCAGAACAACCTGCTGAAGGATGTTTTAAAAACATCTGCTATTTGTGACTAGAATCTCATTCTTGGCCAGACTGACAAACGGGGCTTCCTGAAGACTTTGGCTAGAGCATCTGCAACGCTTTTGCTCTTCCTTGTATATCTGTATTTAACTCTTTTCAAATGGCAGGCTTATCCCAAAATATCATCCAGATCGTCGCCGTAAGGACGCTTCTCCACCGCGAAGATGGATCGACGCCATCCCTTGACAGGAACGGAAGACGGTCGGCAAATCAAATAAAAAGACCCATCCACTAGCCTCATCGAAGCAAAAGGATTGTATAAACTACAGAAAAAGAATTGAACTGATAAGAGAATTTAGTCACCTCCATGTAGTCGTCCCGAGTCTCGTTCTCATTGAAAAATCTGGTTCGCTGCTGTTCGAATTCTCTTGCTGCTTGCATGCAAGCAAACACGAATCCTCGAGTTACCCGTACTCTCGTTAACGGAAAGCGCTCAAGATCAAGAACCGTCTTCGAGATATCCTGAAATCAAATCTTTCCCAGCCACTTTTTAACGGTGTTATGTGAACCTAACCATAAAGGGTTCAAAAAACAAGCGACGTAAAGGGAAAAGGTAAGTATCTGTCCATGATCAATCCTTGCGGGACCCCTTCCATTTTTCCCCTCCTTCCATATAGGGGACATTTGAATGAACCGAGAAAAATCCCGTTTGTTCAGCCTCTTGAGCACAGATCTTTAATTGATCGAAGAGAGGCTGATTTCACTGCTGTCGAAAAGCGAGGCGAATGAAACGAAGAGGACAAGAATGCGGCATGATGTATGCTGTGTAACGGGAAGGTCAGTAAGATCTCGTTGAGGGCCTTGCACATCCCACCAACATCTAGTCTCACTAAATTTCATGGACTACTACGGAGAACAGACTTGAGAGCATATCCGCCTATCGTGGAAGAATACGGTGAAACCTATTCTCACCTTCACACCACAGACGTCATAGATGAAAACATTGCCGGCAGAATGCGAATCGACACGCTCGTAGTAGACCTGTGTTGCTGGCACAGCATCACCGTTTCGATACCTAAAGTCAGATCAGATATAATCGAGGACATCCAAATAGGATTCTCTACTCACCTCGTCACCTGCCTCGTTTTACGAACGTAATGATAACATACGCTCTTCCACCATACGATTGGCAATGCGTTCCGCAGGGACTTCAGGTACTGCATGGCATCTTCGACTCGAACCTGAATGTGGTAACTGAATAATCGTGAGGAAATGCGGTAAGAAATTATTTTTCCACTTCATTGCCATAGGATTAAAGCCCGTTTCTGTACTATTAACCTACCAGAAGTCACTTAGTTGATGTCTTACTAGTCTGACTGAGAGACTGACCAGTACATCTAACCATGAGCACAAGCCGAACACCTATCGAAAGGGCGCTACAGTTCTCAATAAGTGGGGTTATCATTGCCAAAATCTTTATTATTTCGCCTACTTCTCTGTTGAGTATGAGCTACTTTTTGGATCATGCATAATTTACCACTTTACAATGCAATGGAAAATTCCTGTTTTTTAAGTGAAGTACTGTCCAAACGCCAAGTTTGAATCATTCAATTCATACTATCACGAAGGCGCAGAGTAGCGCCTCGGCGGCTAAGAAAGCGCGAAAAAAGGGCTATAAATAATGCAAAGCTTCTAAGAAGTGGCAAGGGGTTGTACGGGTACGTGGAAGCAGAGTGGAAGGGGTATTTGGACAAAGTGTCATTTTTATGAAACGCTCCTCTGATAAAAATCTTTTTCGAAAAATTTCAAATGTTAGGCCCTAAATTTATTTATTTATTTATTCATTTATTGGGCTATTGTTCAAGCAATATACAATGGTAGGTTTGGGATAGCATCAGAGTTACAATAGAAGTACAATGAAGAATTATTTTCTTATTTAAAATTATAAATAAAGGTTTATTTTCTTAAATGAAGGTGCTCGGGTGGAAACTGAATGCTGTCACCAACATAGACATTGAGTGTGTTGTTGAACCACTTGCTGTTTGGCCAGCTAGTGGTTCACAAGAACGTTTTTAAACTAACACCATTTTTAAATAACTTCTTAAAACGGCCGACCAACGATATTAGGCTGTCGGGATGAGAGCAAAGGCTGGACAATCCTGTATTGTTCGTCTTGCTGCTACGCCCCTCTTGCAATATGTCAAAGCTTTCTGCTGTAGAAAACCATCACAAGAATGGTTGCTGAGGGGAACGCATGAAGACAAACCGGGTGGACGAACCAAATTGGCACCAAGCAGTCATGGTGTCCTTGAAATTGCTGAACTTTTTTGATTTCTATCCGGAATATTTGCGTTTTTGCTGCTTCAGAAGTGAAACGATCATTCCACAGGTATTATTGTTACTAGTCGAGGCGGTATGTGTTCTGCTTCACTATTACTATATTCAGCTGTCTCTCCTTCTCCAAGTGCCTAAGTGGAGCAAGTACCAAGGTAAAAAGCATCATTTCACCGTGGCTCAGGGTTATGTCATGTGTGGGAGTTCATACCCAAAGGAATTTCCCCTAGAAAACTTATGCTATGTTCAGAGATAATCGTGCCCGCATAGGCTTGGATATAAATGCTGGCCAGTCATTATCTACAAGTTGGGCGAGCTCTTGGTAATGAATGACCCGAATGAATGAGTTGTCCTTCAGACGCTCCCGGTATATGTTTTGCCGATGGCTGCACAGCGCGGACTATACGACTCTCCAGGATGAAGCAGAGTTAGCCTACTGTGACCGAGATTTCGGGGTCCCAGATGGCACCATAAAGGTTTGTTGACAACGGAGAAGCACATCAACACGCCTATCATTGCCACCAGGTCTATCTACGAGCCCAGTTTTTTACACACAATACGATTTGCTGGACTAGTATGGGCCCAAGGTTATAAGCAAAGTGCACGCTTATCCAAAGAATTGAAAGAAATTGAGAAAAAGGAGTCTTTTCAGATCAAATAGAAGAATTTTTTATGGGTTTGAACTTTGAAAGTGCAGTTTCAAGACTGTGGGAGCTTCAGGATTGGACAAGAAAATGACAGGAGATGAGGTACTTTTAGCGCACTTTCTTCAAGTCTCGTATCTCTAGGGGGTGATAAGGCACAGTTCAAAGGCAGTCCTTGCTGAATAATCGCTTTTCCGCCATAAGACCGATTATTTGGGTGGCAAAGAAAATCAGAAAGAAAAAAAACCTTTTTTATTGTAGACAGCTTTGACCGGCTATGCCAACATTCCATGACGTAGACGATGTAGAGCATCAGACCGAAGACGATTGGCACAAAATTGTAACCCTGAGCGCATGGACCATGATGATAACTGAAAGGAGCTATGTTCACCTTGGAATGAAAACGTCCCGTGCTTACTAGTATTTGGTGCTTCGACTTTCTTACACCAAAGTTTCACCAAAGACACTGCCGAATAGTAACTTTTCTAGGTAATTTGATCTTAATGAGTAACAGAAAAGATCAGATGCTNGAGCGCATGGACCATGATGATAACTGAAAGGAGCTATGTTCACCTTGGAATGAAAACGTCCCGTGCTTACTAGTATTTGGTGCTTCGACTTTCTTACCACCGGTAGTTTCACCAAAGACACTGCCGAATAGTAACTTTTCTAGGTAATTTGATCTTAATGAGTAACAGAAAAGATCAGATGCTTCTACAGTGGAGCCAAAAATGTTATCATTTCTCATGTCCCTTCACTGCAAGGAACTACAGTTTTGAAGTTCTTTTGTAGCTCCTTGCCGTCAGGCTTGCTCCACTGCCTCTAAACATGGGTTTCGTTGACCGACTCTACCACAACATAAGGATACTATGGCTCCCTCTTCAGAAAAAACACTCAAAGGTGGCCCTCATTACATTTGATATTGCTGCACTCAGAGGAAATCGTTGAAATTGACAGCTTTTTCAAAATCTCAATTGTTGGACCCAGCTTTCCTTGAGTCATCGGAACAATCTGTAGGTTCGGACGTAAGCATTCGGCATCTCTGTAGGTTTTTAAAATGACGCAATTCACTTTTTGTTTGAAAAATTAATTATTAAAAGGATATAATACGTTTTGCTCAACGAACAGATTCTTTTCAGCATTACAGAAGTTCTTATTTATCGGATCCAGAGCCTCCAAGTCCTTTTTGGACTCCATATTTCCCCTAATCGTCAACAACCTTTGATGTAGTTGAATGGCTCCTATTATTGGATCGCTTTTATAGGATTCCCTACCAAGCTCGAAATGAAAAGATGATGGTTCGAACTGTTTGAAAAAAGCTTGGAAAAAAGGAACACGGAAATGTGTATTAGAACTCATTGAAAGGGTTTGTAATTGTGTATCCGTATTTGTAACCCTTTTTGGGCCAACTGTCTGGACCTAAACATTCCCAGTTTGTGCCGGAAAAGAAAAACCCATAAGGATTGCTCTGAATGCTTCCATCCATTGCACCGAATCTAACATAGAACACCTTGCTTTCGCTCTGCTTGAGTAGGTTTGGCCCGGTGCCAGCTAAGTGCTACATCATAATGAGATCAACAAGGCTTTGTCTGCTCCAACTCTCGTGGCCATGCCAATGTCGCCCACAATGGGGTGCTTCAGTTATACGAAAATCCGGCCAATCATGCCAACCCGAATAACAAATCCCAGGCTCCATATGGTACCAGTCTTGCAGTGGACAGACTTCACCGAGATTTCATAGGGAGTTTATCTGAAGAGGCGATGGAGAAAATCCCATAGATCAGTTCGCCTTGCATTCGTGAATTGACAGCTACGTACCAATGAGGCACTAGAGTTCCAGCTCTTCTGAAACCAACCGAACAAGCTCCATGTCCCGACTGGAATTGAACCAAATACCTTCTCTGACTGCTCTAATCTTTCCAAGTATCAACATCCATATCCGCTGCAGAAGTTGATCCATTGATTATTAGGAAGGTGACTCTTTCGAAATGTTCCTACGATCTGATCAAGACGAAGCTATAAGTTCGTATAACCCTTTGGAAAACCCTGGCAAACCTGGCTACACATACGAATCCAAAATTACTGCCAATCTCAACAAGGAATCAACCTATCCAATTCTTCTACGGGTGGGTATGCAGAATGTTTCTCTTTGGTTCGGAGTGCGCTTTGAGGGATCCGACCCGTTTCAAACTTGCTTGGAAGATCTAGTTAGCAATTTTGGCCTAAATATATGAGTCTAGGATTCTAACATTTCACTGGAAAAACTCATTCTGAGCATAAGCTTTTTCTCGGTCAGTATAGACAGGTAGTGAAGGTGATGAGTAACTGAACCAAACACGTACCTAATCCTGCGTAATTTCATGGACTAAAAGCTACTGTTACTATTTCTAGGATTGACGTTAGGACAAAATTGTGAAGTATCAGGGGAAGAGGAACAGAGACCTTCGCTTCTTCCATCTTATTTCCCACATTCCACGAAATGTCAGTGAAGATTCCAGAAAACAAGCCCACCAAGGCAATAAGTAAGCTTTGTTGGTGTTTCTATCAGTTGAGTGGAAAGCCTTGGAGCCCTCCTAGAGAGTGCTCCATCAAAAAGTTGTTTTGCTTGAGGACAGCTTTATCCTTGGATTTCCTTCATGACTCGTTCCTAGTCGTTCATCTGGAAGAACTGACGCTGAGGCTGAGCGACGTTCCCTTAAGCCAACCATCAATTGCACGCTAGCATGAACGGATTAGAGGCTCTTAAGAAAGAAACGAGCGAGACGATGAGCGAATTCCGGATGGGTTCGGGCTTCTTTCTTGTCCCACTGCCTGCTGCTGTGTCTTCTCCTCACGCTATCTGAATACCCAAACGAATAGTACACGAGTACGGATTTGGTTGTTTACGCAGTGACGTTTTTGCACAGAAGGATGCACACTCTCCCTCTTCACTTGAGTACCCACACCCGTCCCGTCATTTCAGTGTAATGGAGGCACTAGAAACGCGATAATGCTGTTTTGGGGCGGTGGCCGAAGCCTTGCAGCTGTGAGAGTGAGCGATGGAGAGCAGCATGGAGCATTGGTATGCCACGGACAAACAGCGAATCAGATATCCCCAGGGAGCAAGCTGCCAATAGCGAATTGAGCTAGGATTATACGAAAATGGTGACCTTTCTTGGAGATAAGCAAACGGGAATAGGCAGGAGGTTTTCTACATGAGGAGCACTTGAGATAGGAGTCGTAGGAGATCTCCAAGCGTTGAAGAAAAAGTGCGATGCTGTCGACTCTTTTTGAAAAGATTGTCAGTGGCTTGAAAAAGGGAAAAGAAGACTTTCTCCATCGAATTTCAATTACGTACCCAATTCTTAAGATCGGACTGAAATAAGTGAAGATAGCTGAACTCCAACATACTCCTCTCAGTACAGCACGAACGAACGAGCTCTAGAAATCGGTATTAACCACATTTCAATTTGAAGGTCTCTTCCAGCCCAACCGTCGCTTCGAAGCCTCTCATGAGTCAGTTTCTGCCAAAGGTAAGAGACTCACAGAAACGTCCGAAGTTTACTCAAAAAACACGACTTTCTGGGGTCCATCTAGAATCGGAGAGCCTTCGAATTTTGCATTTCGGAAACGACGGTTTTTTACGCTCCTGTTCTGAAGATCACTCGAAAAATACAGTTTTTTCTTCGAAAAATCCGATTAGCGTTGATGAAATCAATCCCAAGGAATCAATTACTGAGCTATGTACTCCATTTATTTATGCTCATGAATTATTGCTTCTCTGAAAATTTATTGCCCATCCTTCGGCCTCCTGTGCTTCATGAATGCAGCACTAACAATTCATGGTAAATTCAAAAGTTAGCTTTTCCTTTACAATTCACATCAGAATATTCAATTGTAAAAAAAATATGATTAGAACAAGAGAATAGGTTGTTCAGTCGTAAAAAGTAGAAAAGAAATAAAGGCTGGCAAGGAACTCGAACAGAACCTTGGTGTCTACGAGGCTGCACTAGCAGTACCCTGTGTTTCTTGTTCTCAATACCTTCATTGTTGCAATTCTTCCGTCCAAAGAGTAGGAAAAGATTAAAGGGTTCAAAAGGCCTTGTCTCGGACAATTTTATGAATTTTGAGCAGTTGTGTAACTTACATGAGTAACGGCTGAAGGCCTGAATAGGCCATGTGCTTGAAATGGCACCATGCAGCGTAAAATCCACATCCAACTAAGAGTAATGAGCAAGATAAACATTTCCAGTACCCCGACCGCCGTAAAACTCGACATAATCCTGGCCGACGAGGTTTCTGAAGTGGTTGGATGAGCATGAGATTTTCCTGAGCTGGTCTAAATCTTACCGAAACATGTTCAACATCGACAGTTCTTGCCATTCCGTAGGGATCATTCTACATGCCCTGAAGAGAGGGTTCAATTGTATTGAGCAGTAAAAAAAAGAAATACTTAGCGATACTAGACACTTCGAGAGTTCTCAAAAACGCGTCTAATAAAACGGGAACGGACAATTGCGGTAAAACAATATGCTGCCGGGAATTAAGTGGTCTTCAACTAATGGAAATCACTGTGGGGGGTTCCGATGTCCTCCATGCACTGTGTGGGAAATGCCGACAAAGACCATTGGCGTAAAAGCAGAAAACACAATCAAAGTGCAAGAAAGCCCCCACATCGTAGGCGACGTCGCCATGCGGCTACACATCAATGGCGCTATTCGTCCTTTCTACTTCCTCGTAGATAACAAGCTTCTTCACCGAAAGAGGCTTCGAAGGCACGCGAGAACTAGACTCACTCTGGTGCTGGAAGAATGGAGCAAAGGGGGAATCCCCGGCTGGGTTTTTCGAAGTCTAACACGCCCACTATGGTCTTTTCTAAATGGTGTCCTGTAAGCTCTTCAATTTGCTTTGTCTCCTCATTCTTCCTCTCTTTCCCATCACTAAACTGCCCGTTATATTTGAGGGGTAGCTCTTATCTGTGTGGGCTAGTGACTGAGGGATATAGAAAAATATAATCATAAACAATCAACATGAGCGAGATTGTTCAAACCTCCTCGGAAATTTTTAAAGTCAAAGAGTTTGGTAATTCTTCGAAAAGCCAAGTATCTAGAAGAGTATTAAGAATAAATGGTCTCAATATGTAGAATTAATTTAATTGTTTAAAAAAAAGGGCCGGGATTCGGGGAAGCACAGCATCCAAAGGAATGTCTAAATGCGCGAAAGAAAATGAAACAAAGTGTTAGAACAACCCTAGAAACTTTCATGTACAATGAGGTTGAATATTGTTATCCCCACATAGATATTGGGATGAACTTTTTTTCATTGATAAGCTTCTTCACAAATCATTATAGTATGCAACTTTTATAAAATTGTGAATCTATCAAACCCTTACAACTACCAGTTCGACATGAAACTTGTTAAACATACTTCTTTGGCTTCGTTCGACATGAAAACTTCGATCCGTTCCCTTTTTTTTGAGAGCTTTCAAGCGAAACATTAAAAGCTCGAAGGGCCTTTTTGTCTAGTCCAGCTGAATAGACAGCGCCGATTCAAATGTCAGTCCTTCTGACCGATAAGAGTAAAAACAGCAAATTTCTGCTGCCTTCTCCAGAGCGGATTGAGCAAAAGTTTATATCAGGAAATAATTACATTCAGCCTAATGAACGTGAGCTCTAAAATTGCCTGAACGTTGATAATGAGCATCGAGAAACTTTCTAAAAGTCTGCTCATTTACCTCATTTACACCATTCTGCTCACAAAGAAGCGGCTCTAGCTTCCACCGTTTTTCCGTCTGGATATTGCCTTTCAACAGTGACCCTGTAGACTCTGACACTCCTCAACTCCAACTTAAAACCTGCTCAGCTCAGCGAGTGCCTAGTGCTGTCTTCCTTACACTCCCCC